GTGTGTGTGTGTGTGTTGGCGAGGATCATTCAGCTCCATCTGAGCCCGTTTTCGAAACCCCTTAACACATAAGTGGAGCCACCTCAAATACCCCCAAAACAACAGCTGTCCAATGTCTGTGTGTACGTGTTTGTGAGAAAGTGTGTATATCTTTTCCATATGGGACAACCACATAGTTAACAGTGGCAAAACACAGTATTCTTGATCATCCCCATGCAATGCTATTCTGTCTGGTTTCTGTGAAAGGTCTACAAAAAGTTGCTGCTCCTTTATTTTCTTCCCGTCATGAAGCAATCTCTTGCTCTTTCTCTTCTCTCTCATTCTCTCTGTGCCAGTGTCTCTTATTTTGTTGCCCTTTCTGTCTCTTCCCCACTGTCTCTTGGTTTTTGTGGGGGGTTTTTTATCCATCATGTGTGAATATGTCACACACTCTGTGTAGGCAAAGTAAGGCCCACAGGTACCGCCCGCCTCATCCTCCAATACTTTCCCACCTCCTTTTTTCCCCCCTCAACATTCCCTCCGCTCCTCCCTGCTTATGGCACTACTTCACAGCTCTGTAGTGTAATAATGTCTTTGAGCTGTCTGCTGACATCTCTGGAGACAAACCTACATAGCTGTGATATGGTCATACAGGGCAAAAGCAGGGATGGAGAGAGCATGGAGAAAATTTGCCTTTGACTATTATTCAGCCTGGATGGAAGAATGGAGTTAGGGATGAAGAAAGAAAGGGATTCCCCATCATTAAAACCACTCCCAATTAGGGTGATTATTAAGAGTGCTGGCTGCTCCTGCTGGCTTAAACACCAGGATACTGCGGTCAACTGGGCTGTAAATGACGCATGGTGAGACAGGAGAGAATGCTTTGATACACATTGTGTGTGTGTGTGGGTTGGTGTAGAGAATTGTACATGGGTGTCATTTTTTGACTTGTTCACCTTTACACATGTATGTATGCAGGCATTTGGCTATATTTATTTTTTATGTTTTTCTGCTCTTATGTGCTTTAGTCTGCTTTTAATACGTGTGTGTGAGTGAAATATTCTCCATTTAACAAGCCAGATTGGGAGTTCCCTTGTGCTGTCTTATAAATCCTTGCCATGAAAATAAACCGTGTCCACAGTTCAGTAAGTAATCTCTAACAGCTCTCTCTGCGCCGCAACACCAGAAGATATTAGCAGGTAAACTGCCAACTTGTATCAACAGTGTCTTTCCTGAGAGAAATGAGTCATCTCAGTATAATATTTCCCCCAGAATGATTTATGCAAGAGAAGCCGTCTTTCATTGGAACCCCCCTGTTGTGTTATTTGGCTCTAATGTTGAATAAGATGTTCCTTAGTCGGTTTACCAAGCCTGAAAAGTTGTGAGTGCGCCTGTGTGTCATATCTTCATCATATCATAACTCATTCCCTCTCTCGCTCTCTCTCACACCCTCTGGTTCTATGTGTCACACGCTCTCCCTCCCTCCACGTCTATATCTATTTGTCTCCTCATTAATCACCTCCTCCCCCACTCCCTTTCCATCTTTTTCATCTATCCTTTACCCCAAGTGAACCCCAAGCACACTGTAGTCAGTCTTTCCCCAAATGACTAAAAAAAGGAAAAGAAGAAATCAATACTTAAAGGTCCACTGTGTAACATTTAGGAGGATATATTAGCAGAAATGGAATATAATATACTGTTATATATGTGTATGTATAACAGTATATATGTTTGTAATGTGTCTATAATCACTTGAAAATAAGAATCATTGTGTTTTCGTTACTTTAGAATGAGACGTTTTTAATCTACAGAGGGAGCAGGTCCTCTTCTACGTAGTCCGCCATGTTTCTAGCCCAGAAGGGACAAACCAAACACTGGCACTAGATTGGACCTTTTTTGCAGCCACTGTAGTTTCTCCTTTCCACTAGGTTGAGTCAAGGGGTTTCAGTTGGTTGCAGTCTGCAACATCATCGCCAGATATGTAGAGTTGTTTAAGGCCAGTCCATTTTTTGACCATAAACACTATATTAAACATTAGTTTACTGATGGGTGTTCATTTTCAGTTTTACAGGTGGTTTCTCCTTGTTGTGTTTAAAAGTGATTGTTACAGTGTTTACAAAAACTAATCACTATTACATTATTGTTATTTTGAATGTGAATGTTTCCCTCTTTATTCTGTGCTACTGTTGAAATGTTAAAGGTCAAACAGTTAGGTAATGAGAACTATTATACATGACTTATATCTAGGGACTGAAACAGGTGTGCCGCTGCTTTATTTTACTTTCCCAGACTTGCAGCCAAGCAGACTAGAGTGAGAATTTCTAGAGTTAAAAGGCATTTTTAAAGAGCTGCTTCTCAGGGCATTATTAGTCATCTAGGGTTGAGGTTTCCAAATGGGCTGCTGCTGCTGTAGCTCTAACTGACCAGATCAGCCCTCCCATGTTAACGACTAGTAGAAGAGGTTTCAGTCTGCTGATTTATGGGACCAAAAAGTAGAGGTCAGGACAGCCTGTGACCACAGTGACACATCTCAGTTTTAATGGAAAGGACAGAGAATGCCGTCCTTATTAAGTTGGGGCTTTTGCTACTTTTGGTTCTTTTAGGATGAGTGGGTGTTTGGCTGCTCTGTCTGGATCCCATCAGGGTTTTCTCACTGTCATCATGTCTGCTAAACTTTTTAGCTGACCAAATCACTGAAACACTGAGTTTGAACTTGAATCTATACAGGTTCAGACTGGCGTAACCATGACCCCAGAACACCTTGGTTTAGAGAGGCACACAGGAGTCACATCTGTTATTCTTATTAACTGATGGTTGTACATTTGTAGCCTCAGACCCAAATATTTAAAAATTCTCTTCGACAACTTAAATCATTCCTAATTAATAACTTCCTCTAGTACATAATAGTCCACTTAAAATGAACTTGTGGATTTTTTATTTTTATTGGTCATCAGTTCAGTGATTGAGAATCATAAAGGCAAAGGCAGGCACGTATAGTATGCACGTAATTGTTAAAGAGGAAAAATCAAGCTCTGCTCTTTCAGAGAGCCAAGTGTTTATGTTATTAACATCAAATGAGTAGTAACGATAGTTTGGAGCCCAGTGATGTGGTTGGTATAATTGTACGGTATGTTTTGCTTTGATATCACATAGCCAGACTGCCATAGTTGAGGGCAGAGAAAGGCGAGCATTCGTGCAACTGAATTTTGAGGTTGAATTGTTTATGAGTTTCAGTTTCATCTGGCTTAGTAGCACCTGTATCAATGAACTGTTATTTTTCATCTATAATTAAAGAGATCAATATTTCACTTTGAAAGCAGTATTTATTTTAGACATCTTTCCATCTATTTGAACCCTCTTTCTTCTTTTTTTCCGATGTGCAATCAATAAATTAGTGACTGCTCTGACTTTATTCATAAATCACTTTGTGCATAGGGTATCATTGACTGGACATTTTCCCTCAGTATAATCCAAAACATTTTTGACAAATCATTTACCTTCTGTTTTCCTTCCATAGTTCCACCCTGTACTGCTATTCATTGCTACTCCTTCTGTCTCTTTAGATGCAGTCCAGGCTGCGTCTGTGCAGCTGGAGCTACAAGATGTGCTGGTGAGAACAGGACTGAAGGACCGAAGCCGTCTCCTGCTGGGGCCGTTCTCCTGCAGCTCCTCTCTGGAGGCTCGGTGGTGCCGCCATAGCGGCAGCCCTGGGCCTGAGCCCGGCCCCCCTAAACTGCTGATGGACCTGAAGGGAGGCCTGCTCCAGGTTTGTGTAGCCATGACATCAATTCAGCATCCTCAATCACAAGATGTATCACCCAGTGCAGCCACAGTTTCTGGGGGTCAGGGTCAGATCAGCACCTCTGCACCTGGTTAGAATTGAGTGTCTTGCTCAAGGACCATAAACCCCTGAGGGCTTGAGCTCTAGCAGTTATAGGAACGGCCTCTAATCATGAGGCGATGCTGCTGCCCACTTAAATGTCACCTCAGTTTGAGTGCATTTGTTTTTCAAATGAATCCTTACTGTGTTCATAAGCTGACACCCACAGGCGCAGATCATCACACTCCTCTTAAATCGGCTGTTCCTGTTCAACCCTGCTACGGCTTCTGTCCTCTTTGCAGTTGAAGTGATGACAGTAGGAATTGCATGTTGTAATTCCACTGTAGATTTGAGTTACATCTGCTGGTTAAGTTGGAATATTATAAGCCTATTTTTAGGGGGGTGGTTATATCTTATGTGTGCCTTTTTTCCTGTAAGAAGTTACATAATGTCCACACTGAAAAGTCCCCTTTCAATGTGACTTTACTGAATGCGTTATTACTAATATATTATTCCACATTACTTCTTCAGGGGGAACCCCCTACCTCTTCCCCATTTTCAATGATTCCCTCAATGCTTTTATTGCGTGCCCATTAACAGAAACATGACTCGCAACTCAACACTTAATACGTAACCATACATTTCCCTCTGTAAATATTGGCGTTTGTGGTGTTTTAATCAAGTGCTGTACAAAAACCACCGGAATTCCTTCCGATTCCTTCTTCTCGTGCTCTGTTTCCAAAAACCTGAAAAAAAATCCCCAAATTTTCCTGTTTTTAGAGTTTAGTCATAACCCACCCTTGCAAGCTAGTGAGTAGCGGGCAAGCAGGCAGGCAGCTCCATGTGTGAAGAGTTTTTGACTCAGAGATTCCTGGTTCTCGGTCCAAACCCCAGGCAGGCGCGCTTTGATGGGGCATGGGAAGGGGAATGCCGCGGGTAAGTAAGGAGGATGTAAGGTTGTGTTGGGTAATGTTAGAAAGGATGTGAAGGGGTGATGACGAGGGTAACCCTGACTGCTTCTTTTCCTGTTTTGGAAAAAGAATGTTAAATAATTGTTGACGTAGGTATTTACGCATCAGCTGTGAGCCTGTGTCACTGTCTAGCTTTTACAGTCTGTTTTTCAACTTTCTTTCTTTACATCTTGTCTCCCACTGTTTTCCTTTTCATCCATATACCTTTCATATTGACTTTCACTTTTCACCTTTCTCCACTCATTCCTCATCTCTTTACTTGCCGTTCTCCCAACCCTCTCTGCTTCTGTCTTGACAGGTCTTCTGGGGCCAGGAACATTTGAACTGCCTGAAGCTGGTGGAGGAACACTTGCAGGTGTACCTAAACCTCCAGAAAGGGGATTTGGCCGATAGCTGTTCCAAGGCCAAGGCCTGCCACGCCCATCCACCTCCCTCTCTGGGCTCTCCCTCTCCTCGGACAGAGCACAGCTCAGATGACCTGCGAACGGGGCATTTTCAATACGTCCAGGACTCAGGTGAATGTTAATACAGTTCATTCAAGGTGTAAAACAATGTAGCCAGGCTTAAACCTAGGTAAAGTGTTACTGCACTCTAAATCTTAACTCTAAAAGTGACATGATTGCTTTTTGGAACTTTTCATTTCACAGTACAGACTCCCAAAGGTCGATAGCTGTTAGCTTTATCGGCAGTCATTCATAGCAGTAGTCGCAAACAGGCAAAATTGCTTTCTAAAGAGCATTATCCAGGGCTCAGAGTAAATCAACAATACCTGGACATCAATTTTTCCTGCGTATTTCTTGTCAAGGTTTTCAAAATAGATGGAACAGTGGTAAGCACTGAATCCATAGGAGGAACAGAAAACCATGGTCAATCCTTCATAAACTCATATAACTGAGTTTGTACCAACAACAACAAAAAAAACAGAACCTTTGTGCCAAAGTGAGATGTCACTTAAGATACACATTGCCTTAAATCAAAGTCAGATCAAAGCCCTCTGTGGAAAGAAGTTTCATCGGACATGTCTGCCTGGTTCCACTCTGAGTAACATGCTGTTTATTCCCCCTCTTTGTGCTTTGTGTGTGCTGTCCTCTACGTGCACACACAGACACACACGGCAACATTATACACAGAGGATCAAACTTCTCTCTGGCTGTAGACCAGCCGTCCACTCTGTCAGCTGTGGTTGAGTCTTTGTTTGTTGCACTGTTCCACTGGTCTTTGATGCATTTAATATGCTGGCTGAAGCAGGAGAACGTACAGTAGTGAACTAGAACGGAGAGCACAATCTGTCTGCAACATGTTGTCAACAGCCAGAGAAAACCGGGCCCCCAAGTACAGAGAACAGCGAGTGCCCCCCCCCGGGGCCTGACGCAGGGATGGATGGGATAGATGGACAAAAGAGGAGATGAAAGACGGATGGGGAGAAGAAGTCCCTGTCCCTCTCCCACTTTCTCTAAGTTCAAGCTAACTCAAATGGAAGAAAAACCTCATGAAAGTGTCTGTTTTTTCTTTCATCCCCCCCTCATCGCAAAATAACAATACACTGTCCACCTTCGAGTGGACATCTCACCGCTTCACATGAAGGAAGGAATTAGCCACAGACAGATTTCGCTGCCCCTTGAAATGTGTTTTCTGGAGGGAGACTCTCAGTGTTTGTACCCCCAGGGGCCAAACAAAGCAGCAGTTCTCTGCTTGACTGTTTTTTTCAAATAAACATTTTTCCAAAGGACTTGAATCCCAAACAGCAGCCACGACTTGAGTCAAACACCACTCAGAAGTTTAGATCCAGTGTTATCCAGCTTTTGCAGGTGCTTGGCATGGTTCAATCAATGGCTGTTTACTCAATAGCAAAAATGTTTACTCAGCCACTTTGTTTATATATGGCTTCTTACGCATGTAAACATTGTGAGAGTGTGGAAACATCTACAGTGTTCTTTTAGTAGATATTGTTTCGGAGGGTTTAGATTCCATAGTAAAAATAGCTATAAAAACATCACCAGCAACAAAGATGTATGCAAGTCATAGAATTTTTATCACATTTTTTCAAGTGTTCCCTTTTTCCACAAGCATCTGAAAATGTTCAAAGAGGCCAGTTGAGCTATTAAACAGACTTTTTGTTATGAAACGTTGTGTAGTAGTGGGTTTTATGATACCAGAAGAGTGTAGTGCAGTAAACTGGTAATCTACTGTATCTTAAAACATTAAATCCATGGGTTCCTTCCAGTTCATCCTCTGCTTTCCAGTCGCATCATCCTTTATCTGTTCCAGTCAACTATGACGCTTTATTTTTTTTCTCCTCTTTTCTTTCAGCTATTCTCCTCACTTCATTTTGTTATTCTCTTAGCCCCTCGCCATATGTTTTTTATGTCTTCCTGTAAAGCATAACGTAAGTCTTGCCTTTAGATCTTAGCTGACATATTAAAGTTAAGTTATTCTGATATTACTGTTAATTCTTCGTTTTGTGCAGCTTCCCAGAGACTGCCAGGACCGCATGAGGTGGTGTTCTACAGCGAGACTGAGGACAGCCCAGGGGTGATGCTGTGGAGGTACCCTGAACCCCGCGTCCTCACCTTTGTCAGGATAACTCCTGTACCTTTCAACACTACGGAGGACCCTGAGATCAGCACTGCTGACCTGGGCGACGTTCTGCAGGTAGAGAAAAAGGAAAAAAAAATACCACAGCTACACACTCTCTCTTCCCCCATCTCTAAAATTATTCTGAAAATCCCTCCCCAACATAAACACAGAGCAGTGTGAATGAAGGAAGGAGCAAGGAGTAGTAATGCAACCAAATGTTTTATTCATCACTTGTATCTGGATCTGTTGTGGTCTACTAGAGTCCTGCTACCATAAAGAAGGAGGAAAAGGTGTAAACTGACAAGAGAATCTCTCTCACTGCTCCCTGCTGAACATCACCTGCAATGAAAGAGAAATAAACTGTCTTAGAGTTGGGCTGTGCGCCATTATAATTCCCATGACATGAGTCATGAGAACTCCCATACCCTAAGTGTTATTGAATGACAGAGACCCCTGCTGTCCCTCCAAACATGTAATACATGGTCGGACAGCTGTGGAAGTCATCTTGCATGCTCTGGTGTGAATAGCCAGGTGTCTCCAACCCCAGATGAGGTTATAATTTGGCAGGCTGTAGCAGCTACTGAGTCTACAGGGCCTCAGTGGGGGACAGGACATCCCACTTTTCCTCCTATCACTCATCCTCTGCCTTTCTATCCCCCCGCCTCACTTTTCCAGCTTAACGTCCTCGAAGGCAAGCCGAGTCCCAAATCACATTCTTTAGCATCTGCTCTTTGTGTTTTTTTCCTGAAGCAGAAATACACTATTTTTAGGTCAAATTGCCTGACACTGTCATAGCTACAGTTATTTTTTGACCATGCAATTAAGAATGGAATTTCTGGTAATACAATATGCAAAACATGTTTTTGTCATCTTGTCAGCTAGGCTTAACTCAATCACGTTCCTGATCAAATACATTTTTCTCTGTTTTTTTCCTTTTCATATAAAGTTTCACAGCTTGCATTAGCTTTGTTTAGTCGGATATTATCTTAATTTCAGTTGTTATTGTGGTTTTAAATTCTATTCCGTGTAGCAAAATGTCTACAGAAGTCACACTGAGAAGGGGAAAAGCTGAGGAGCAGCCCTCTAGAGACTGATAATGTAACAACAGCTGGATTGCCAACATGTAATGTAAAGATGTTTTAAAATAAGCTGATGCAATATATTCACAGATATTTCTCTAACATTACATTAATACAATAACTGCAAGAATTACTTCATAAATGATATATTATAATATTGACTATCATAAAGTAAACCCTAAGAGTTTTTTAAACTTGACTCATTCCTTCTGCAATACAGTGTTTATCACAAATTAATGTTATAATCTGATGTTATTACATGTTCCTGAAATTAATGACAGTAGCAAGTTTTATTACATTCCCAGCCCATGTATAAAGACTTTTTAATTACATTTTTTAAGCCTTAGGGTAAAGTTACCTTTCCTCTTTCTTTTCCTTCTGCTTCTTTTTTCCATCTTCAGCAGAAGTTTCACATCTGCCCATATCCCCCCTTTATCTCTTAGATTCTTTCCTGGACTCCCACAATCATTTCACCTACAGTACAGATGTTTTCTTCTGTCTGTTTATGTCAGCCCAGGAGAGACAAGATATTGGAAGGTGCTGCAGATGTCTGGCTTCCCTGCGAGGCTCCACAGCTGTAAAATCTGTAATGAGCAAGGCTCTCTAGCTGATTGGCCGCATATTGAGTTACAGTAGAGAACAGAGGGAGCTGGTGTGCGTAGAGGAGGGAGGGTTAGAGGACGAGGCGGTGATGGACGGAGTTGGAGAAGGGAGAGTGTAGTTAATGGGAGTAGATTGACAGGACGCAAGATTGAGCAGAGACAAACAGAGATGAAGTGAGAAGAGGGTTGAGAAGGATGGATATAGATGGTCACAGGGGGAGGTAGTGTCTTTTGCTCTGTGTAAGAGGATCTGTGTGAAAATATACTTTCTCTAGTCCAGGGGAGAAAGATATGATTCTTCACCAGCTGATGAAACAAGGGGCCAATGGAGGTCTGACAGGAGATACAACAAGCTGGCAGGCATAGTCCAGCATGTCATGTTCATATGATTCACTTCACAGTCTGTCATAGATTTGGACCGTGGTGTCAGAGAAGAGATAGTTGGGTGCCTGCATTTATTTCTGCACCTGTACTTCTATCTATTTCTGAGCTTAAAATGGATGCCTGTGACTATATTTTTCTGTGTGTATCACACAACACGAAATGTGGAACCAGTGGTTGATGAACATGTGGTTTCCACATCTTGTACTCCTCATGTCATCTGGCATGGTCTTGTCTCTTCTGACAAGTCTGTTAAAAGGAGTCAGGTGATGAGAGGAGGCTCCAAGCCCCCGACTATTACTAAAAACCAGTTAATGTGGCGATGAGATGCAGTGGGGTCAGATACTCTGTAGGGATGGGAATCAAGAACCGGTTCCAAATTGTCTGATACACTGGAATCATACGAGTCCGAGCTCATCAATTCCTTTTATCGATGTCGGCGTGTTTTTCTGACAGTTGCGCATTGCAAAACAATGACATCAAACTTATGTGTCTGCACAGCTGGAAATTTGCAATTGCCATTTTTTTTACTCTGGTTATACAGACTCACATATAATACAACAGTTAATGCTAAAACCTGTGAAGGCCAACTTTTCTTTCCTACACAGCAAATTAATCAGGAATCAATAAGGAAACTGATTAATAATAAGCAAAATCAAGAATGGCATTGGTATAAATACAATCTTATCCGTTCCCACCCATCATACTCTGTCGAGAAAGTCAATAAAAGCTTCATATTAAAATGGGAACCACTGTAATTGATAGCTAAGAAAATTGTATAAACAGTTGTGCAGAATTAGCACTTGCACTTATAGAAATCATTGCACTGTACAAGTCGTAAGTGAGTCATAGGTCATTCTGCTGCTCGTGTTTCTGTGACATCCATGTAAGTGCCCTGGCCAGGCCCTGCAGCAGGCATGTCTGTAATAGGACACTTGGACGGCTATAGCGGTGGACATGTTAACAGAGGTATTGTTGGTAACATAAATGAAAAACATCACTTAGGAAGTGTAGATGTTAAACTGGTTTAAACCCATTGTTGAAAGCTACCCTGATGCATTTTGTCAACACTGCTAAAAAACAGTATCGTGTATCATGGACTTTTTGAAAGGAGTGATTGTAAAGTAATTATAAGACATTGGATCCGTTTACTGATATGTTACACAGTCCTTCTTAGCTCATGTTTTCGTACAAACACTCGCTTAGCATTACGGCAGTTGTGTGTGAGGCAAGGGGTTGGGTTGTTGGGGGTTATTTTAACAGGACATCTTGGTCATCAGCCAAAGTCATTGTGATCCCAGATTTAATTGATTTCAGCCTCTGGCAGACAGTGGTTATGCTTTACTTTCTACAGGACTCCATAAAAGTCAATTAATTATTATTTTTTTTCTCCCAAGACCAGAAAGGAAAGTCCAGCTACAGAGAACGGAAATGCAGCCATAAAAATCCAAAAAAACAGTAATGGCTCAGTTTCTGTTCCAAAGGAATTTTCATTTACTTCATTTCATTTACTTTACATCTAGACTGTGCAGAGAGAGAGAGAGAGAGAGAGAGCAGGAAAGAGAGAGAAGGCAGTCATAATTTCTCAGGCCTCTAAAATTACCATGTGGCCACACGGAGATGGAGGCTGATAGATTTTGAGAAATGGAAAGTGAGAGGCATAGGGAAAGAAAAAGAAATATGGAGAAAAGAGAGAGTGATATTTAGCATTAAGCTGTCTTGTCATTCCTCTCTATCATTTAGCCTGTAATGTTTTTTCCAATTCAAGGCTGTTCACCAGCAGGTGGAGGGTGATTTTGTGAAGTGAACTAAATTAAAGTGGGTCCACATTTTATCCATTTCCTCATTCTATTCCTCTCCTCCTCTTCTCTTTCTTCTCCTTCCTTTTGTCACAGCACCCCCCCGCACACCCACACAC